TAGACACTGAATAAAATTGAAGACATATCATCAGCATAGAACCGGATGTATATTTAGTCATTATCCTTACTAATTTTCCAAAACTAAAACCTAAAACACAAATTTAATAAAAAGAGCGTCTGCTAACTTCAGCAAGCAAATTTATGTTTTTGAAGTTTTCATTTTCTTTCGAAAGTTTTCTGCCATAATTATCCGAAAAATCATAATGTTAGAATATTGGAAGCATACACATGGAAACTAAAAAGTTCTCACGACGTTGATTCTTCTTTATCTTTAAATTTGTACAAAATTTTCTACATTGCCGTAAAGCATTTAATATACCTTAAACTTCTTATTGTCTTGTCGAAAAGTTTTACAGTCAACAATTGTTCGGGTCTATTTCTTTGATGTATTTTGTTTTATTCTTCTAGCACACAAAATATTTTGAAATGAAATCCCAGATGAGCAACCTTACCGTCTCATAAATCAATAAGTTTTGTGGAGAAAATTAGGCATGACTAAAACATATCCAACTTCTCATTGTTCATTCATAGCACACATTTAGGGACTTTATATTGCCACCAACATTCAAGAGACTTTATTGTCCCATTTTTCGCAATTCTGCCTATTTTGTGCAATTTTTTTTTATATCCCTGCTGGTTTATTACAATCCCTTTTTATTATCTTATTTAGATGATATTTCACATATTTTCATGAACTGTCCTTTTTTTTGCCATTGTGAACATCATTCATTTTTCGTTCCTGTGTGACCTGTTTGTGTCGCATGTATGGGGATATATATCTATTAACATACACATTAGCTGAAAAAAGGACTTTTACACCTTTCTCTAAGTGGAATGAGAAAATGTTCATCCTTTTAGTTCACAAATAAATTATCTGGTTTGAGGATGATAACGAATTTAGGTCACATACATAATTCTAAGTTTTTCATTTAAATTAATTTTGTTGGAATATTTATTTAGTGTCTTATTTTGTTATTATTGATGAAATATGATTAAAAAGTATTTTACTATACATACATCCGCACGTTTCTGTTGCCACAAGCCTTTTATATATGTTTTTTATGTGGTACTTTGTGGGAATCAGTTACTAAATATTCATTTATGAAATCATAAATGTGAAGGGCGTGCAGAAGTAAAGTAAACAAACCATTTTCACACAGTACCAACAGACGGACGGCCTGGCAATATTTGCCTTCTAATCTCTCTTCACGTGTAAAAGCATACAGAAGTAGGAAATTATGTAAATGAAGCCATTAAAATCTCGTGGCATAAGGCAATATGTACGAATATCATAAATTTAACTCATAAAAAATATTTTAAAGTCACATGAGTGAGATTTATCTACTCTGGAGGTTGTTATGGTACATTTTTGATGCACTCGTGTGATGAGATTCTGAGCTGAAAACAAAATCTAATTAAACTTTTACGTGTGCCAAGTGCAAAAAGGGAGAAAATTTCTTTATAATAAAAAAGCGAGAGGAGATAAAGTCTGGAAAATGATTCAGTCATTAATGATGAATTTAAAATTCTGCAAGCACAAGCTGTGATGTGTTGTGATTTTCAATTAATTTCTTTAAACTGCACAACTTTTATTTTTTTGAGCTATAAAAATAACTGAAGGCAAAATTGAATTGAATTGAATTTTAGAAGGGTGCATTGCATGACTGCATCGTGACTGCATTTTCAACAACTTTTTTGGTTTCAACCCTCAAAAATTCTCTAACAATGCACTGAAATTACACGATTAGATCTAATCAAAAACCTGAACAAAAATTCTAGTCGGCTACAAAAAAAATGATTTTTTGTTTGTTCATTCAGGTCGGTTCCTTTTGTTAATTATTTTATTAGATGAACAATATAGAAAATAAGCAGCAACAATAAGATCAATAGTGATGGTTTATTTGTAAAGAGGCGAGCCTCATACACTTCATAAAGTAATTTTTTATGGATTGAGGGGTTGCAATTGCATGAGTCATAGATATATGTACAATAATAATCATCAAAATGTGAGGAATCAGAAAAAATTTCATTTTAATTACAAAAAGGGAACGAAAAAATTTCCAATTCTGACCTTTTGCGGCCTTTTTGTGTTTCATTCCTAATTTTCTTCCATTTCCAATCTTTTGTTTGTTCCACAAATAGCAAAAAAATAAGAATTTTTTGTTTGCTTAGTCCTTTATTCCATCCACTCTAATCCTTAATGTCCAAAAAAAAGAAGCTACGGTTCTAGAACATCAACAGAGGATTTTTTTTTACCGCGATAAATGCACGACAAAAACGGCAATGTTTAACCATTAAAATTTGTGTATTCAAATGAATTATTGCTACCCATATTGTGGTTTTAATTAAACTGCTGAATGACACGATTTTATGGCAGTTCTTTTTTGCTATTTTACTTCTACAATTTTTTTTTGTTCGCAAATCCTACGTGGGAAATGTTGGAAGGTGACTTAGGGATGATTATCCTATTTTACGGCAGTGGATATACAATTGAAGGTCATATCAGGGATTGTGATTTTAATATGAAATTATCCTACATACTTATTCAGTTCCTATTTGTGTCATTTGAAATTCACTGAGATGAAAACTTGCGTCTGTAAAAATTTCACTTCCGATTTTTTAAAATCTTCAGCTTTGGGAAGAATAATATTAAGTTTAACAGCCAAAATTTTCTTGGCATAAATCTTCACAGCAGTGCAATCAGCATGTTCATGTTCATGCCGTTGTTTTTATCATAATTCCATAAACGTCAAGTAATTCTTTATCTCATTTCCACTAAATGTTAGTCATCGAGCAAGAAATATTACTTATTAAAATTTAAATGAAATGAAACGTGAAAGATGAGAAGAAATTTCTACCTGCTGTCATATCATTCATGCCTTGTTTATGTCTTGTGCGCTGTTTGTGTTGTTATCAAATTTTTCTTTCTGTGTCTATACACACTTACTTGCTGTGCGAGAGGTCTTTTAAATTGATATGATGATACCAAGCCTCTATAAAAGGTCACAACAAAAGGAGAAAGAAGAAGAATCTCCGCATAAATTCAATTTTCTCATTTCATCTCTTATTATATTTTTTTATTATACGATTATTCGTTATTTCATTTTCGTGGAACATTCAGAAAAGAGATCTCCATAGACAGCACAAGAAGATCATTTTATGGCAAGTTTAAAATATGAAAAGAAAGGAAGAAGTACAAAAGAGAACAGAACAGAACAGATGAGATGAAGAAGGTGTATAATCTGTATGTAATTGGGAAACATGTGGAGCCGGCACACACACATCATGGTCTTAAAATTGAAAAGAGAACGAGAGTTATTGATTATTTTTCATTAATAATTCTTTCCATCTCGTTTCGACTTATTGGCTCATCCAGCAAGATCAGAAATGAAATATGTGAATTGAAAGAAAAAAACAAAAATTAATTTACAATGCTCACGGCTCATCAAAATATGAAAAGAAAACAATATAAAAAGACTGAAAGAACTGTGAAGTGGAAAGAACTCATTTGAGCTCATAAAATTCGTTTCGGCGTCTTTGTGAAATATTTTTTATCATCTTGCATTGAATTTTTTTCCCCATTTTTGAAGGTTTTTGATGTGAAATTCTTTAATCAGAGTTGATATGCTGATAACGAATTGATGAAAGCTATATAAAATCTTTAGGATCTATAATGTCTTAAGTGATATTCAAACCGTTTATTCATTAAAAGATTGGAAGTTATCGAGAAGAAATTAAAGCTCATAATCCTGATCTAATCAAGACATTCCCAACTCTGGTCTTATTACATCTCGTGTTTATTTGTTTTTAATTTCTCGGTTATAAAAAATTAAAAATCCACATGTTAATGATGACTGATGGATACTCCGACAATGAGTCAGTTCTATTGATTCCTTTGTCTCGCATTTGTTTGGATAGGACGCGATGATACGAAGTAAATCTTTGAGTTATCCTTTACTGATCTTCTTTTCTTTTCATTTTTACCGACAGCTTGCTTACAAGCTGAATGACTTACTGCTCTGTCTTCCTTTTTTCTGCCTTATTTACCTTCCTTTACTCACTCAAGTACTTTTCAACATGCGATAAAAAATTCTTTTTGTGTGCCTTTCATTTTTTATTTTTCAACAATTTCATTATTTTTTGCGGAGTTGCAAAAACAGAGCCAGCCAGAAGAGAAAGAGAAAAATTGAAACGTCATGTTGAGTCAATGAAGGTTTCTCATGCTATTCAGTCAATGTTAGTTCCGCTCTTCCATATGAATACTTCTTATATGGCGAATACTAAAATTTACATTCACATGTGAGCTGATAGAAAGCCTTACATGACAAAGGTTCAAAGGCATTTTTATGCTCATTTTAATGCCTTCGGTGTTTTTGACAGTTGGTTCTGTTTTTCCTATTGTTGCCTCTCTCCATCTCGTTAGTCGTCGTTTTCAACTCAGCTCACATTAATCTAAATTATCTCGTTGTTGCCGAATGACGAGTTAGAAAAGAAACTTTTGTGACATCAAGAGTCGATTTTACTTCCTTCCTTCCTTGCTGTTGCCTCCGTTTTTGCTGATTATTTTCAACAAAGCTCACAACAAAAAAAAAAGCACCTCAAACAAAGTAACAAAATACACACATGAGGATAATTTTTAAAGGCACAAATTTATGATGATGAAGAGCATGAAGAAGAAAAAATTTCCAGCGTGCGTGATATGAAAAATGTTCTTTGAGAATCGCTGTGGGAAAAATTTATTTCCTTTCCAATTGTCTTTTTTTTTTCATTTGAGACACATAATCAAGATACAGTGATGAACCTTTCATGGGTCATGAGAAATTTTGTCATTGTTTTTTTTTTTTATTTTAGAAAAATGTCAGGCATAGATATCCCTCTAATTAGTAAAATAATTGGATCCTGCTCTTTTTTTTTTGATGCTCAGAAGTTTTTGCAATTTTTCATTTCGGACAATTTTTCATTTTCTAATTCTCTTGTGTTTTATTTTTGTCCGAACAGAACTAGGAGCTATACCAACATATCAAGATAATCATCTAGAGGATGATAGATTCTCACCAGGATTTTTAACAATAGGACAAAAGTACAGCTATGCCATTGGATCTACAGTAATTTTGCCATGCAAAATTAACGATACTGGTGAGTAGATACAAAAAATACAGCACAAAAATGCTTCGTTCCAAAAAAACATTTAAAATAATATTTACAGACAGAAACATTCAGTATGTGTTAGCATGGAAAAGAGGAAATGCAGTCCTGACAGCAGGTTCCGTAAAAGTGACAATGAATCCCCGAATTCGTCTAATTCCCGTCCATGAACTACCTGAAATATCATCGACATCGATGACATCACATAAATCACCAACGGGATACAATTTAGAGTTACGTGATGTACGTGTCACAGATGCTGGCGATTATGCATGTCAGATTGGTACGTTAGAGCCACAAGAAATCATACATAAATTGGAAGTTTTAGTGCCACCAAAAATCGATTTTATATCTCCAAGCGGCGGCAGATTAGATGTTGCAAAAGGATCACCAATTCGTTTGGAATGTCGAGGATCTGGCAATCCCACGCCGAAAATTTATTGGTCGAGAAAGGTAAAATAAAAAAATCTATAAAAGAAATCCACACACAAAACAAAACATCAACAAAAAGGACGGAATGCCTTTTTATGTTTCGATCCTTGAAATCGATTTTCTAACCTTTTTTTTTATTTCCATTCCTCGCCATATAGAACAATGTGATGCCTAATGGTGAAGCAAATGTGACGGGAAATACTTTTGAAATTCCACACGCAGATCGTCATTCAGCCGGACATTATAGATGTAGTGCCGACAATCGTGTGGGTGCTGCTGATATGAGAGAAATTTTCGTGAATGTTTTATGTGAGTTATTTATGTGATTTTTTACCCTGGCAGTTCTATCTTTCAAATTCCTTTCTTAAATCAGAACGGAAGTTAAAGTTTTAGATTTTTTATGATGATTTTTGTGACTTTAAGTGGCTGTGTTCGAAGATTTTAAATCATTTCAACATGGAGGGTCAATAAGAAGTGCTTTGTTGACTTTATTACTGAATTTTAGTATTTGAGCACTTTTTGCTAGCACCGATTTAGATTCTTAATCTTACACGCTCTAAAATAAGGCGCTTAAAGTCAGAGTTCAATTCATGTTATTTAACAACGCCACAGAATTAGTTCTTATATAAGATTGAAAGAATCAACACAACATCATCGCCAGGACTTGCTAAATTTACCTTAATACCTATCATGTCATGCATCTTCTAATGTTCATTCTTATTTTTATCTGCCAACAGTTGCGCCTGAAATTGAAGTTGACAGAGCATTCATACATACAGGAGTTGGATATGAAGCACAACTGACATGCTTAGTTCACTCAGAACCGCCAAGTAACGTCATCTGGTATAAAGACACGACACAATTGGGAACTACTGAACAACATTCACAACAGGTATGAGAGAGATTTATGTTTACTTTTTTTTATGTCTTTTCGTATTTATTTATATTGGAAAATGATTTTGAAACACGCAATATTGTCTTTCCTTTGTTCCTTGTACCTTTTCTACTTCTTTTTATCTTCTTATACCTGAACGAATGAATACTTTATGCTACATACCTATTTATGTTATTATAGTTATTTATGGTATTTGATAGATGCTTAAAACATGAACAATGACATGGGATGTAAATGTTTTGAAATATTGAAGAGATCGAGTCTTTTATTTTAAAAAAATAAAGGAGATTGTTGATGAATAGGAGGTTATTTTTGCGGACAGGAATCGTAAAAGATCAAAGGAAGTAGGAAGTTTGTGAAATTTTTATTTAATATCAAGGAAATAATTTCTATAACTATTAATAATCCATAACATAATTAATGAACTATTAATTTATAGCAAATAAAAGCAGCCAAAATTAATTAGTCACACGTAAACATTGTTGGACATGAATAATGTATGGAAAGAGATAAAAATTATTCAAGCCAGTGCATTTTATATGGTCATAATTGTGGAGCTATTATTCAACTTGAAATATCCACAATATAAATCTAACTGTGGATAGACCTAATTTAATTTCCACTAGATATAATGTTTGAATTAATTGTATTATAATAGAACTCAATGTTTTTCTGGTGAGGCTGTTAAATAGGGCAATAATTTATTAATTCATTGTGCAATAATTACATTTGGATATAAAATTTACCTTATTTTCGAGGTAGGGATAAAAATTTGGATACCACTTGAAAATATGTGTTGTTATAAATCCTAGTTTAAGAGAATGCATTAAAGGTTGAATTTTGATGATTTTATTAATTTGAAAATTTACTTGTTCATTGCTTCAAGCTATCGAAACGTCTATTTAAGGTGTTGATCTTATGAAAAGTATTTAACGATTATCTAGGACACGAATTTGGCTTACTGGAAGTCTTTTTTCATGCTCAAAAGTAAAGTATATCAACTTTGAATTCAATTGTCAGCAATACAGGTTGGGTTTTATCAATGAGTCCTTCAGATTTATCTGGTTTATAGTTCACTAAGCGATGACGTTTAAGACAGATGATCTAATTGTATTTTTTTTGCTTTATGCTATGTAGAGGTTTAACCTTAAAAATAAAAAAGAAAAGTCTCAAAAACGATTGACGTCAATTGTAAATAATTCCTGCTATAAATCAGAATAATTCTTGGTAAAACTCGTGCATACTTTTGATTAAAATATTTATTCAATTAACATTTTCAAACCTGATTTATTGAGTTGCGAGGAATTTCAAAGAGGCCTTAAGAAAGTTTTTTTTACCTGCATTACCAATTTTGATTATGCATAAATTGAATAATAAAATGTAAGAATTATGACAATAGAATATTTTGAAATATAATATATTTTTTACAACACAATGTATGATGATGCCCACGTGCCTTAAAAATATAATATCGTATTATTCGTGTATACCACGTGTAATAACAATACGAAACGTATCATTAATCCGGCATAATACATAAATCCGACACAATATTCAACAAGAGAGAAAAATAAAATCATGAATTATTAACAAATCAAATTAACATAAAAACAAATGTAAAGCTTCATTTTTTGTTTGTTTAAAAAAGTATATATATATATTCAATTTCATGATATTTTAATGAAATTCTCTCATATTATGACATTGATAGACTTTGATGAGATATCAGAAACATGATAATTTTAAAAACATAACATCGCGTAATATTGAAGCCATATCAATGATGAAATCAACGTTATGATAGGAACCTAAGGGTTTTTTTGATTTTATTTCATATGTGGTTGGACATGTTGTTTTGTAAATGTTTGCTATATGCTGAATTTATACCGCAGGTCTATGAAATAATTAAAATTTGAATATTCGATTAATTTTCCTTGGAATTTTAAAATTGCGATATTTTTTGTCCATATTATACTGCTGAGTATTGCATTGTATTTTACAAAATAAACTTATTGAGCTAACCCGAAGCATCAATCCTTCTCAAAAACTTACACGAGCGGAAAATTTACATTCCAATCAAATCATTCGTTCAAATACAAATCATTTATTAATTAACAACATTTCGTAGAATATCTCCCGTTGGTACTAAATCACCTTAAAATAATATTATTTGATACTTTCATAAACCAAAAAAAGGAAGCAGTCATGCGTGAAAAATACATACGAAGATGAAAATTATTAAAATATCTGAAAAAATAATATTCATGATTTTTTTTTTATAGACACGCGGCAACAAGCATTCATTAATAATACGAAATGTTACGTATATGGATCTTGGCAACTACACATGTCAGGCATCAAACAACTTGGGAAAGGATAGAAGTTCTCTGACATTGAGTGGTATACCAACTGTTTGCTATTTTGATTCGGTAAGTTTTAGCAGATTCAGCATTTTTCTAATTCCTCAGGGATTTTCATGCAATTGAAAATAAATATTTACTTTTTTTCTCTCCTACATGCTTCACTAACAATAAATGAGCAGAAAACAATCAGCGATTATCGAGATCGATACAACATTTCATGGAGTGTACAAAGCTTCTCACCAATACGTGAATATCGTCTATTTTATCGTAAGCAAACGCCAAAATCATACATGATGACACATCAGATTCAGCAGCATCTTGATAAGTCATTTGAGAATACTGTGAGTGGAAACAGTGGAAGTAGTTCACATCATTATGTTCCACCCTATTCGACTGGCTTATCTGATCAATGGGAGAATGTTGTCATACCAGAAAATTTCCCTGAGTACTATCCATCGTCAGCATCATCGTTCAATCTCAATGATTATCGCTATAATAATCATATGGTGAATACTCATCATCACATGAGTTACTTAATTAAAAATCTTTCACCAAATACCAATTATGAGGCACGTGTACAAGCGCGTAATGACCATGGATGGAACAAATTATCTAATGTTTTTCATTTCTCGACGCGATCAGAGGGTGAGTATTCGATATTTAAGGTGGGAATGTATAGGGGATGATTTCTATTGTGGCATGAATAGAATGGAGATTGTAGATAAAGTTTAGATGATTTTGGAGCTGATGGGAAATAAATTATGAGATTCATGAGCTAGCTTGTCTTGCTTTGTGTGAGATAAATGGATGTTCTCTTCTTTTTAAGATGAATGGAACTTTTAATGGAATGTACATAAATTACGTCCATTTGAATTGAAATTTGAAGGCTATTTTCGTTTTCTTTTTAATATTTTGTGTATCTCAAAGCTTCACAATTCTACATTTCTCAAAATTGGACGTCATTTATGAACAATATTTACCCGAATGACGCTAATTAGTGCCTAGTTGCAATGAAATCGACACTAATTTGTTTTGTTATAGCAGCACTGGTATTGTAGCCTGGCAATTTGACATTGATTGTCTTAAAGACTTTCCTCAATGCCAGACGTTGCAGTCTATTGACTCTAATTCATCAAAGAAGCCTGTCAAAACATTTGAAAGAAGCCAACTCTGAGATATTATTGACTTGTTTACGTCGATAATAATCTCTAATGATAAATATATCTTTGTCTATATTCTTATTCCATTTATTCTATTAAGACACAAAAAACATTCATCCATCATCTAACCACGTGTAATTCCCTGATAAATAATTCACAAGAAATTTGTTGCTGCTCATACATTTATCAAAAACCTCATGAAACTTTCCCAAAAACAAGCATAATCCTTTTTTCCAACCACGTGAAATAACTTGTAACTGTCTCTGATTGCTGTGCAAACAAACCGCATTTACACATGTTTGTCTATTTTTATGACATTTTCACAATATTTTTTGTCAGCTCCAATTTATTTCATGTCATGAAAGTAAAAATTTTGCTGGACATTTCTGTTATCACTTTTGCTAATCAACAACATATTTTTTTCTGTCTCATTTCATTTTTAATTAGACATGGAACTTGAAGCATCGCACACACCGACAGTACTTCGTAGTGCCGGCCTATTGGATAAGGGCTGGTTGAGTAGTGGTAGTGAGTCATCAACGAATAAATTAATCAATATTTGCTCCGCATTGCTGTGTATTTTGTTAGCTTCATTTCTTCAGCACACAACAAATTAATTAATTAATTAATTTAGCAACTTATTTTTTCTGTGAATGTGAACAAAAAAAAAAATTAAATGATAAAAAAACTGCATACATGGAGTAAAAGCAACATAAGTGTATGTTTAATGCCCAAGAGATTGTTTATAATAACGAGAAATATTTAATAAAATTAAAAACAAACTTAATTGAGAGGAGAGAAAATTTAATAAACACAAAAAGAAAAAATTATAGTGAAAAGTAATTAACGTGCAAAATTGGCCTGAAGTGTACCATTTCTGAAAAATTTATTAAAAAGTAATGAAGAAAGAGATGAAAAATTAATTATATATATTGAGAGTAAATTATTATGATTATTATTACTGTGAAGATTAATAATTAACTAAATAGTAATTAAGTGACAACGCATGAAATGATAAATAAGTCTGATGGTGATGCAAATTGTTCTTAGTGCAGATTTTAATGTAAGCAAATTAAAGTGCTGCTGCTGTTCACATCTTTGGGGGGTTTCTTGTTGTTTGCTTATTGCGTCGCATAGATTAGAGTTTTTTTGACACCTCTTGTCCACTTTGATGCATTAAAATTGATTTATAACTTCATCTTGGATTCAAGAAGGGGGTGGAAGGTCAGAAGATGTACGACAATTTTTTTTTAAAAAAATTTCAAAAATAGTTTCAACATTTAAAAAAAATATATTTCAACATTTATAAAGTTGAGGTCAAAAAACTAGATTTGTATGTTAAGTAAAACTTGATCGACTCGTAAGTTGCAGTAGAGAAGCGATCAAAGTTGCTACCCTAAAGGTTTAAAGTAAAAATTGTCCTTTACGATACGCCAGAGTTTTAATTTAATTCCATGCTTCAAAAACTCTTGCTACATCACTGCTGAGTTGTTGACAGGAATCAACACGAACAAGATTGCAACAATATTCATTGTGAACCTCGGTCGACACTCTTTTACAGTTTGCACTAGATTTGAATGTGTCAATAGATTTGATAATATCGCATTATGGTCACTTTGGATCGGCATCAGATATCTTCTATGATTCATATATACACAAAAAAATCACTCACAAAAAATATTTAAGAAGTTTCCACACAAAACTGAAAAAATTTGCAAAAAAAATTGTTTTTCATATAAAAAAAATGGAGTAAAAAATTCGTGTAAATATTCATAGATGAAAAATTTTCATGTACGCCATTTGCATTAAATTAAATTAATTTGTTTTACATGAAAGAGTGAACGATGAACGAAATGAGGAAGGCAAGATGATTAAAATGAACAAAAAAATTGATAGAAGAAGAATTTTAAAACCTTGTAAATAATTTCTTTATTTTTGTATGGGACCACGTGATTTTTCTATCCAAAAAAAATAATGGAAGTTGAAAGAAACATAAATTTTTTTCCCTTTCTTTCTCAATCTGTAGCCATTCCAAAAAAAATGATATTAAAAAGCTTTTCATTTATCCATAACATTATTTTCTTATGTTGAAATATTTCTTTCAATTATTGCATCTCTTCCTACATGTAACTGCTAAGTAATTGATAAGACGTAAAATAAAGAGAATATTTTGTTTGTTTTTATAGGCTTTAATTTTAAGTAATTTCTATCTTTCTTTAAAACGATGAAAAAATGTAAAAAATAAAAATGAAAAATGCTATAATAAATGAAAATGATGGTGAGATAAAATGTAAGAAACATGTGGATTTCCTTGAAGTTTTATTAAGTTTCAGATGAGCGTTATTTTAGATGCGTTGAAAGGAACCGAAAATTCTTTTTAATGTAATACCACACCAGATCCAATATAATTTTTTTTCTCGAGGTTTCGACCTTTTCTGCGTATCTTCAAGGCTCAAAGCTTTGAGAAAATTGTTTGTTTGTCAATAAAATCACAAAATATCTAAAGGTTTTAATTCGATACTCATTTTTGTAAACATCTACGCATTTTTCTTTTGAATTTTAATTTTACAGGGGAGCATTTCGAAGGCTTGTCAGAAGAACCAACATTTTTCGTTAATCTGTAGCTGTATTGAGATAGTTGTCTTTAAATTTCATTGAAATATTGGTGAAATTAGGTGTATCTTTAAGAGCTGGTTTTGAACCTCCGGCTGCTATTATCGACCTAATATATTGATTCTTGAAACTTTCATTTCTTTTCTGATTACTAAAGCATTGCTCAGATAGTCCCAATTATCTTGATTTATTTCAGGGGCGAAGCTATCAAGTATCCAATTTGCTAGTGTTTTTACAAAAAAAAATCTTAATTCGCTTCTGATTCCCCTGAATATCTTCTTGTTTCCATGTCTTTCTAAAATTAAAATGCTCCACTTAAGTTGTCATTCCAATAAATCTATCAATGGCCCTTCAAATTAATTTTAAATTAAAAACAAATGAAAGCACATTACTTGTGGATGTAAAGACAAGTGCCATTCATTTAATCTAAAATCAGACATTTATTTTGGTTGCGTGACGCTTATTTGGTATTTTCATCATGAACAATAAATAATTACAATTATTGTAAAAATAAACTGGATGCAAGTTTTTTTTCAGGAATGACGCAATTCGGGTTTCTTAGAATTAAAAACTTGTAAAACAGGTTAAAAATTTTCATTGATCTAGTTTTGAAGATGAATATTTTTTACAGGTATTATTTGCGGCTACAAGAACTTACAAATATTTCGCTTTTTTCAATTGAAAATATATTTCAATATACTACAAAAATCTTTTAAAAGAGAACTATTATTTTTCATTAGTAGGTATTAGAGTTACAAGAGCATCATCGAGGGTTATAAAAAAAATAAATATTTCAAATATTTACGCAAGGAATATTCAATTAAAAAATTAATTCTTTACACATTTTTATCCATGAACCTGCCTTCTATTTGCCTTTTACTTTACACGCTCTAATCAGCTTGTTTTTATTCATCACAGATGTCATTTTTTAATAAGCGTACACAACTCTAATATTTGTCATCTCAACAACCCTCTCTGCATCTGTTATACTCTATAGAAAAAAAACAAGGATCAAGGCTGTCTTCATCTTGTTAACCATTGGCAATAATTCAAGTGGTTCCTTCTGAAGAATTTGAATGATTAATTAAATGAATTAAATATTTATAAAGAAAAATCTTTTTACAGAATTGTCTCATTTTTTGTCTATGTTCATAAATTTTGACATAATAATGAAGCAGCCACAACAAAGGCAACATAAAACTGTCGAGAAACTCAAAACCCTTTTTTTCTCGTTTCTCTATTTCCGTCCTTTTCTATCCTTCAACAGCATTTGTGCATTTAGCTAGACTTGAAATTCAATAGAATTGAACCCTATGAAGGTTTAACAATCAACTGCTCTGTGTGTATATTAAAATATACATTGATTGATGCTGACGCTGCTGGTGTGTTTTGAAATTTGAATTTATTACGTCTATTTAATTAGCATGAAAAAAGGATGTTAATAAATCAATTGTAATAGAAGAGAGACTTGAAAATATTTTTTTTGTGTATGCATTATTATGAATGTGGAAAGGGGAGAGAATTGTATTCATAAATGGCATTATTAAAAATCATAATCATAATAATAATCGTGACTAAAACCTCTGACATAGATTCGACTTATGTTGGAATGAAATGATGTTGTATTGTGTAGAATTTGTCGGTATGTTTGGAATTTTTGTGAGGCATTTACAGATTGTTTTGAAGCTTAGCATGGAGTATTTATTAGTAGGACACTACAAAACACACAATGGACGTGGTTAGGTTTTTTGAGGGAGGTGTGAAGTTACATTTTTATTCAAAATTTATTTGGTTGAAGAACAAAATCTTTAAAAATTTGTATTTAATTTTTAATTATTAAGAGGGGTGGTCTACGTTCCTTTGGACCTCCTTAGATATGCTACTAATTTGAACTTATTACAGAAAAACGCCAAAAGTCCAACTCAGTGACATTATAAGAAAAGGACAGCTACGGCTGTGATCTTAGGTTTGATATATATAGCATCAATTTTCTTAACTTAAACTTGACCATCCTCAAGGTTCCTGCAGATTATAATTTTAAAATAATCTTCATACAAAGATTATAATCTGCAGGAACCTTGACTGTGGTCCTGGAAGTAATATAATTTCAAATATCAGTTTAAGTTCGAAAAACTACAAGAACAGACCAGTTATCAGCCTGACTTCCTTCAACTTTACTAAAATGCGCTCAAATCACTTATTTACCAGCACACATTCTTACGACATTTTATATTGTCTCGGATGAAAGGCAGTGGTTATGTTTTTGCATACTCAGTTCATAAAAAATTCTATTCAAATGTCACTGGAACTAAACAACTCTCTTTCATACTTTATTGAATTAAAAAACTCGACGCTAAAAAGCTGCTCCTGATTATGACGAAATTTATTATTAAAAGAAGATTTCTTCTTTTATCCTTCAATGAATGCATTTTATGAGTTTTTTGAGCTCAATTTAATTCTTTTGGAAATTTTTAAATTAAATTTTAGGAATTTATAATGCAATGAAAAGTGGTTGATGAATAGGAAGCGAATGTGAACGTAATCATGCACATATTGTGCAGTAGTAGTTGAAATCAAGATATTTTGTCAAAAATTTGCATCTGAATGGATAAAAAATTCATTAATTCTCACATTCAATTCACAGCTCTATCCACGTGAAGCCTTTCATTTTTCAAATTTTTCACTCTGACAATTCACGAGAGGATAAAACAGAATCGATGAATCACTCAATGCTGTTTGACTAATTGAAGCTCTGAATTTAATATCAATAACGTTAAATGAATTGTGCAGCCAGAATCGGAAAAGTTTTAAACACTGCGGTGATGTTTAAAATTGATATCAATTAGCGACAATTCAAATTAAATTCCCGTCAATCGAGAGTGAGATTGGAGAATTGAATTTTCATTAGTAAATTGAATACAATTTATATTTGTGCAAGTTGAAAATTTGATGATTTGTTGCGCTGTTTAATCCTATTATGTTGAATATTTTGGATATAATATGATACTTTTGTTTTACTAGGATCTAAAATGTTGATTTTACTATCACGTAACACTGTAATACCCCCAACCTGACAACAAAAACGATGCATTTAATTAGCACATCATCCATAAATGATTTATTATTAATTTAAAAATTATCTTATTATCTTAAATTATTGTCTCTATTTAAAATTTAATAATCAGCCAATCCTGTCTGCTCATAAAGCATTTTCGCCAGTAAATGTGATATTTTTATCAATGATAATGAAATTGAAAATCTCTGTTGCGAATTGAGTGTCATGACATAAATAAATATGCCGGATAATTGATGTCGGAAAAAACTTAATTTTGAATAAAATAAATAATTGATTTTTTTATTAAACTTTTGCACTATCTGAATGAGATCATGATGCGGAAAAATATGACATACCATTTACAGTTTCATGCAAGTTTTTTTTTTGGATGCTGTTTGTGTCAAAATTCTGAATAACTCATTTTATTGATGTTTATTTCTTTGACACCTTTGCATAAATGTTTATATAGAAACACTTAATTAGAATTGAACATAATACAACCCTCGTGCTCTTACTAGGAATTATATAGCTTTTCAAATATTATTAAGAATTTTGCGCATTAAGTTTGATTGATTTTTCAAACGAATTTCACTTTATTTAAGCAGAGATTCTCAAAAACTGAGAGTTTCTAGTTACACTCCTGCATAAAAAAATCCTCCAACATCGAGTTAATACCTCACATTAACAAGAATCACATGACTTTCCATATCGAATTATCTACTCAATTTAATTCAAGGTAAATGATTAGGAAAATATCAGATTACTGAAGAATTAACAAGTCGTAAAAGTAAACGACACAACGATAAAAATAATGAAGGAGAATGTGAAAAAGTATCAATTTCATAACCTATTAGGTATGAAGCAGTATGAAGCGATAGCAGTCAAAATGAGATTTGTTTAAAAAAAAAGTCGATAGCTTGTCAAATTTCCAACACTTTACAAGCTCATATGATTTTTAGGGATCGTAATTGTGGATGTTGTGGATTATATATTCAAAATGATAATATTTTTTGGACAATGTCTTAGGTTAGGAAGGATGGGTGTTGGCTGGATGATAGAATTATGAAATATTTTACTTCATTCTTTACTCGGTTTCAGAAAATGCTTCAATCAGATCTATTTGGCGTCTTATTGTAATTTTGTTTGACTCAGGCAAGCATGCAGATTTCAAAACTGCTTTTCTCTTAGGGGCTGTTCACTTATTACGTAACGCGAAAAAATGACTTCTTAGACCCCCCCCCCCCTCGTAACAAAATTTGTATGAAAAAAAAATTTCCTTGTTTGAACCGTAACAAAATCTTAGACCCCTCCCCCCTCCCCCTAAAAGCGTTACGTAATAAGTGAATGGCCCCTTACTATATCCATAAGATAGCATAAAATATGCACTAGACAAATATAAGCTCTGAATAATTTTTTTATCTCGCAT